CCCCCCCCCCCCCCACACCCCAAGTTTTTTTTAGTGGAACCTGGGCTTTGATTTTTGATTTTTGATTCTTTCTAGCTGTGGGATTCTCTTATTTTTGTTTTTTTGACTAGGAAAGAGAAGGAAGAACACATCGGATCGGATTGGAACTCTGAAATTTCGCCCCCCTTTTTATTTGTTGCATCTGAGAGCGATATGTTGGAGGATCGCTCGTTTCTAGCGTCCAGGGTGTTCTCAAGCTCTTGCCAGCACCAAACTCAGTTGGCTTGCTTTAACTTAACGTGTCGACTCGAGGTTGGAATGGGAAATGGCAAACGCCCATCAGATCATGATGCCCATTCACTTCTTCCATCCTCCACTTCTTCTCATAGAAACGTCAGGCCTCGATCTTCCTCGGATCATCCAAATCACGACTCCCATTCCGGCAACACTTCTGATTCCGCCACTCTGTTCTCTTCCATTGATCGGGACAACTCTATTAACTGCTTAATTCGCTGCTCTCGCTCCGATTATGGTTCTATTGCGTCCTTGAGTCGAAGTTTCCGTTCCTTAATTCGTAGTGGGGAGCTCTACAAGCTGAGGCGTTTGAACCATGTGATTGAGCACTGGGTTTACTTCTCTTGCCATCTTCTCGAGTGGGAGGCTTTTGATCCAATTCAGCGTAGATGGATGCATTTGCCCAGGATGGATTCTAATGAATGTTTCATGTGCTCGGATAAGGAATCCTTAGGAGTGGGGACTGATCTTCTTGTTTTTGGTAAGGATTTAAATTCCCATGTCACTTATAGATATAGTATATTGACAAATTCGTGGTGTCCTGGAGTGAGTATGAATGACCCCAGATGCTTGTTTGGGTCTGCTAGTCTAGGGGAGATAGCCATTTTAGCTGGTGGGTGTGATTCCAAAGGCAACATCCTTAACACTGCGGAGCTCTACAATTCCGAGACTGAAACATGGGTCACCCTTCCCAATATGACCAAACCAAGGAAGCTGTGTTCTGGGGTGTTCATGGACGATAAATTCTATGTGATTGGGGGAGTTGGAGGAAGTGAGGGGAAGGTTCTTACATGCGGGGAAGAGTACGATTTAGAAAGTGGGAAGTGGACTGAAATTCCCAACATGTCACCTGGGCGGAGTGCTGCAGTTAGGGATAGTGAAAGTGCGGCAGCTGAAGCGCCCCCTCTACTTGCTGTGGTGAACAACGAGCTGTATGCTGCAGATCACACTGACATGGAGGTGAGGAAATACGACAAGGAGAAGAGAGTATGGTCTACAGTAGGGAGGTTGCCTGAACGAGCAGTTTCAACAAATGGTTGGGGGCTTGCGTTTAGAGCCTGTGGAGATAGGCTAATAGTGATTGGTGGACCAAGGGCGATGGGGGAAGGGTATATAGAGCTGAATTCATGGGTTCCAAGTGAAGGCCCTCCAAGGTGGGATTTGCTTGCAAGGAAGCCATCTGCTAATTTTGTGTATAACTGCGCTGTGATGGGATGCTGAAACTAAGAAACCTGTTGTTATGCTTATGCTCTGCTGCATTGGTGCTGGTAGTTGGCTTGAATTCAGTTCCAGATGGGTCTGTTTTGTTTGTTGTTCTACACGTGATTCTGGGTCATCAGTTATTTCCCATACTCTCTTCACATATTTTGAAGCAGTGCGCAGGGAGGCGTGGGGAGGAATTGATTTTAATTCAGATTTTATAGAAAATGTTCCATGCAAGGAGATCTTAAAAGAAGAAGAAGAAGAAGAAGAAGAAGAAGAAGAAGAAGAAGATATATATATATAACATTTATTCTCTGTGGAGACTCGATTTTTCTTGAAATGCCATCCCCCTCACCCCAATAATTTGGGTTCAGATATTTGAAAGATTAATAATTTGAGTAGCATAGAGAGAGATTGGTAGCTGACTCAGTTGTGTTTTCTGAACATTAGCATTCAAGAACTGAAATAAGTTATAATGGAAAACGATGGGTAAACATATAATTCTCTCTGGTTTTGCTTTATGTTTGGTTTGTATTATGTTAAAGGCAATTGGAAGCTTTGTTGGATTTTGCGTACAAACTGGTTTGGTTTGGTTTCCACCCATTAGTAGACATCCCTTCTTTTTACCTACGTTTATGTCTCTGTCTCTGTCTCTGTCTCTGTCTCTGTCTTTGTCCACCCATTTGGAGCATGCAATTTAGAGTTCATCTTCAGTTGTCATTCCTATGACTTTATACCTTTCCTTTTTATAGATAACAAAACGTATACAATTTATCTCTGTTAAATGTGTTGTCACTATTTTAAAATGAATCTCCAATTTACTCTTTTTCAACCATTTGAATACTTGTTTTCATTTTCATTCCAGTACCATCCCTTCACAAATTTGTAGTTGCATTATTTAATCATAGGATTATATTTGTAGTGAAGGAATTCATATTCACATGAATTCCCAATATAATACAACAAACCATAGTTCATTAATAGCTTCAAAAGGACCCTGAACATTGGATTTAAGGAGAAGGATACATTGGTAAAGTACGCATTATACGGAGCCTACAAACCCAGGTGAGGAGGGTTGGGCGTGGTAGGTATGAAGTATGAGCTTATGAGCTTTAGCACCCACATTATGTTTTTGGGTTGGTTCACAAAGAAATAGAAATCGCTACCATAGATTTATAAATAAGAAATACTTTTAAACTAGTCTACCGAACAAAGCCTTAAAAATATATACTCAAAATATCATATTACGGTAGAGAATCGTGATCGTTTGAGTTTGAACCCCACATTGGAGACCATGTACGAAGGGTGCTCACCAATCTTAAGAGAGTAACATGTTTATGGGTTAAGATTGTCCAACAAATCCAAACATTATTTAATTTAATAATTATTGTTTTTTTTTTTCTTCCTACGCTATCGGTTGCTATTGAATAATGCGCTTACACATAAGTAACACTACCACTTTGGCCTTCCAAGATCTCTTAAGATAAGATATGATGTATTATTTAATAAATCATTATGATTAATTAAATTTATTCATAACCACACAATTTGCATAAGGGAATAAAAATCAAAATTAGGAGAGACCACATTAGTGGTTGAACACATTACACCATAGTATTTCATAAAATATAATTACCAAAAAAAGAAAACAAAAAGATGAGCATAGAATCAATTCTAAGCTTTAACCAAATTTATTTATTCCAAGAATATAATTTATTAAAAAAATATTCTTAATTTCTAATTCTAAGCTTTTAGCATTTGTTGAGTATATTAATTTCTTGGGAAATTTCATAAATGTTATAATTAAAAGAATAAGAACTTGAAGAAGATTATGAAATAAACAAAATTGGTTGAATAAATGGAAGGGTCCACCTGCTGAGTGGTTGAGATACATAGCTTCACCATTATGGAAAGTCGCAACCAAATTCTCTCACAATTTCATGTCACACCCATTTGTAATATTGTTTTGAAATTATTATTATTATTATTATTATTATTATATTTTGAATCATGTGACATTTTAGCATAAAGTCACATGATTTAACACATGGTGCTATGTTGAAATTATAAAATGTATTAAAAGCACAATCTGACAAATCCCAACAATGCCGTAATTTACCACCAACTCTGTTCATCATTTCTCTTCCATCTTCATTTTTTGATTATTAATCTTCCCTCCTTCATTAATCCAAACCCTAAATTATTTAATCATAATCACAATGAATTAATGAACTCTAGGAAGTTTCGTGTGACCATTAATTAACATTTTCTGTCTGTCTTTGTCTCTGTCTCTTTAACAAACCGACACAATATGTAATAAAAAACATTTGGTTGTCCTGTTTTTGGTTTAGTCAAATATTGATTGTATCCATGTAGCTCCATTTTTTTAGATTTTTTTTAACCCTAAACTCCAAATTGTGGGTTCAATTCAATTAATTTGTGGGTGATGAACAGAAAAAAAAAAAAAAAAAAACAGAGAAATATAGTAGAGCTCGGAACAGAGGACTCTGTTTTTCATTGAAGATCGGTTGTCGTTGTCTTCATACCTAGCTCGGGGTTTATCCATATCCATATGCGCAATTTTGAATTAAATTTTGTAGTTCAGTCAGTCCAAGTGCAACAACTCACGAGGCGCGCAATAACATATATTAATTAATTTGGCATCTTTCTTCGGTAGGCCACATTGAATTTGAAGTGTATTAAAATATCTGACCTCGAGCTCTGTTTCTTCCTCTGTTCTTCCTCTATTTAACCTTCCTCATCCTCCACTCTCTCTCCTCATCTTGTTCATATCCTCTCTGTTGTTTTGGGTTTTCTTTGAAGAGAAAATGGCATCCAAACGACAAAGGGATGAGGCCCAAATGGAGGAGATGAGCGAGGGGGAAGAGATAAAACGGCAAAAATCATACAACCAAATCCTATCCCTTTTGGAGGAAGAGGAAGAGGAAGCTGTTGAGGATTTGTCATCGATCATCAGCTCACTCCAGCAAGAAATATCTTCTTCTTCTTCTTCTTCTTCTTCTTTTTTTTCTTCTTCTTCTTCTCCATGTTCCACAAAATGGCATCCAATTTCAAAACAGAACAACACCCAGAAGGCGGAGATGGAGGAGGAGGCGGCAACCGCAGAGTGTGGATCAGTAGAAGATTATGCTTCTTGTTGTTGTTGTTCTTCTTCGTCTGTGAACGAGGAAGAGGGTGGTGAAAGAGAGAGAGTGATGAGACACCTTCTGGAAGCTTCGGATGATGAGCTTGGGATCCCAAACAGTGAGTTCGTGGTGGGTGAAGGAGTGGATGGAGTGGCGTTGTGTGATGCGTTGTGGGAGTTGGAAGATGAGGCTGCCAATTACTACACCTTGTTTCACTCCCAGCTTTTTATGTAGACCAAATTATATGGTACAACTAAATTCAATGTTGTAAGAATTCAAAAACTAAGCAAAAAAAACAAAAAAAAACACAGAGTATTCAGCTCTTGGAACTCATCATCTCTGATCTGAGATCTGTCTCTGATGGGCGTCTCGCTCTGGTTTTAATCATTTTAGAATCAAATCAACACTCCAACGCTACCCAATCTCTTTATTTTCTTTTATTTTCTTTTCTTTTACCATTCAAATACCTGTCTCAACTGAACTGCACGCCGTCCGGCGAACATAAAAACAGAAGCTTTGGGACTTGCGGTCTCCGGCATGGATGATAAATACCAAGAACTGTTAAGGCTTAAGATTAAATTTGAAGTTAGAATAAAAACTACATACAGATATAAACAGTAGAATATGAAGAAGCGCTCTACTGTTTATATTGAGTTTCCTCTGCTTTCATTCTAAATTACACTCCTACCTACCTAACTTCTCATCTAAGAGGCGTGCAAAAGTTTATTCGGGCCAGACGGAGATTGACCCTCGAGTAGAAAGTAGAAGGGAGCTTGACTGCAAGACCCACTAGTCGAGCAGAGGCGAAAGTCGACTTTAGTGATTCAAAGGTGTTGAGTGGAAGGGTCGTCAGTCCACGGATAAAAAAAAAATTACTCTAGGGATAACATGTTGATATTCTCTAAGAACATAGGAAAGTTTGACACTTCAATGTCGGTTCACCACCAGGAACTTCAAAAGAATGTGAAATAGTTCGATATCCATTACAAATAAAATGCCCATTATACTTAAAAACTTATAAATAAAAAAGAGTAAATTATTAGGAGGGTAAAAAATTAAGAATGGTTAGAAATAATTTATATATATTGAAAATAGGAAAATTGTGGCAAAGAAGGAAGAAAGTAATGGAGATAGGGATGTGGGAGTTGGGCCCAAGCTGTTATATTGGGCCCTAATAATGTTATGTCATTGTCCAATCCTCATCACATATTTTCATACCTGCCCTTTGCCCACCCTGTCGGGACGAGTGCATTTACGTTTTTACCCCTCCTCCTCCTCCTCCATATCATCGTCTTCAGTTCGCTGTTACTAACACGTGAACTCTTTTAACTCCATACATTTATTCTTATGTGATATATATTATAAGCCATTAATCTACAAAATTCTGCATTTTAAAAACATGCTCAATTACTTTATCAGATAAAAATTTTAAACATTTTCCACACTAATATATATATATATATATATATAATTAGTGTTCCAATTCAATAATATTACAAGTACTTGGCCCTAAAGAAAATTTCATTGTTGAGCCTTTCCATAGTAGATTCTTATTCCAACAAACTTCTCACACACATTGCACTCTTGAAAGACCCTGGATATGAGAAGTATATATACATATAACTTTGATTAGGATACTAATTCTCAATAATCCAAATGTTTATTTGTTTCAGTATCCCGTGAAAACTTGTGAGTTGAGTGTAAATATGATAGCCAGTTGTAACACTAGAATGAGACAATGTTAATATTGAGATACTGTACTTGATAAAAGATTTAAATAATCCATCAATGTTGACGTGATGACAAATAACAATAATGCTTTAAAGTTTTAATCCTTAGCTACCTTCATCTGTTGGAAGTAGATTTTAATTTCAAGAGCTCGCGAGCCTAGGAATTAAAATTCATCGAAATCTTGAAACGGATCACATTTCTAGATACAACAAGCTGAGCTGCTAGATTAGACCAAATCAACTCAATACATTCATGATGCGGAGGAATTTTGAGTAAAAAAGTCCAATCATGGCAAGAAAACTAGGTCAACTAAGTCCGACGAAAACAACTAGTCCCACCACCAAAAAACAAAAAAGATCTCTAAGTGAAAAATATTAAGATAGGTTTAGCTGGAGGAGGAAATAGGACATAAAGGTTAATCTCAGATACCTGAGATCAATGGCTAGTCTTTACTTTCTCAGATTGAGTTTTAAGTCAGAAACTCAATCTTCATCTTCTTCATCTCCATCCCCACCTGCGGCCTTCTTGGCAGCTGCCTTCTGGTTCTTTCTCTTCACCCTTCCGGGACGTCCACCTCCAAACGGACTAGTGAGAGAGAAGTCTATGTGCTTCTGGGAATCGACTCTTACCATGAAAGAAGGGATGTTAACAACTTGCCTTCCAACCCTAAAAATGCACATGAACCAAATGTAATAGATGAAACATGAGCTTCAGAGTCTATATTCATCGCACAACAATTGTCTATCCAGCATAAAGAATCTCATAGATGGTTCAAAAACTATTAAAGACAGCTAAAGAAAAAAAGAATGCTGAAGTGCCTAAAATACCCCATAAATATTAGGGTTGGTTTCAGTTATGCCCTGTAATAAATGCTTCAATTAACAATCGAACTTCTCAATTGTCTAGGGGAAAAAAACTTAAATTCATCCGTGAAATAAACAAATACAAGAATTAGTTAACAGTAGCCCTCCTGGTGATACTTAACATGCGTAGCTAATTCGTGCTATCTGATCATTTTCCAAGACCTACCTTACCTTTTGACCGCTGATTTTGGAAGATCACATATTCCGCTGGTTAATAATAGTAAGAAAGGGCGAAGACAAGAAAAATCAGTTGCCGTTTTCCTCTTAATCCCTAAACGTCTATAGCTGAAGCTCAATTGCCAAATCAGAATTTCATTGAAACCAACTAATTGGTAAAAAAGTAAGCTTTTGAAGCCGGAGGAGCATATTTGAAACCAACTATGTAATTTAAGCGTATGTTATATAAAATAACTACAAACAGATGTTGTTGATATACATTGATGAGTAAAAAGTACAAGTGCAACAATGCAGAAAGAAGACACTTTACCTTATATGCTTCTGTCTGATGAGCACTCTGGCATGGTGGATAGACTTGGCCATTCCAGACTTGAACACGAGAGTTTGAAGACGACGCTCAAGGAAATTCTCGACAGTAAGAGCCAAGACATAATCGAGCTTATTTTGACTCTCATCCAAAAGACCGTATCTGTTCATCCTCCTAAGCAGGGCCTCTCCCTCAAAAATCCTACGGGGATTCTTTTCGTCAAGAGTTAAAAGCATCCTGGCATTATTACGGATTCGGCTCAATGCATATTGAACCCTCCACAGCTCCCTTTTACAACGAAGCCCATATTCACCTACAAGTTTAAGTTCTGCATCCAAACGCTCCTTCTCATAAGGACGTCGAGGTTTCTTAAAAGTCTTCCCATCTATATAATGAAAGAGGCCACTATTCAGTAATCATGGTTCTCAGCAACAGAACCAAGAAACAGACATTATGTAAAGCAACATTTTTGGAAAAATTAATGTAACACCTACTATGTCATATATTGACCATCATAAAATGAAGTGAATAAAATTTTGAAAGAACTGGGAAGATTCTCGAGCACAATAAATTTAATTCTAGAAATCTGAGGCCCCATGGTTTCTAATATCACGACCATGTAAACCGAAACAGACGTTCCGCATTGGTTACATCTAACCTAGGATTAACCCAGTAGCCTAACATGTGCAAAAGAAAACCAGATGAAAAGCACAAGAGAAATAGAAGATCCAAAAACTAAAGGCATTAAAAGGAAGCATATATATGAACAAAGCGAGGATAGATATGCAGTTTCAGAAAGTTGCTGAGTTGAGTATACTCACAGTTCCTATAGAAGGAGACGTGCACCATGATTTCTTCTCTGCAGCGGCTTCAGCCCCGACCGCGATCTCGATCAAAAGCCCTAAACACGAGAAGCGCCGAAGTGGGGGGAAATTTTGTGGTGTATCTATACGAGGTTGTAAAAGCCCTTGCCAGAAGACTGTGGTAAGGCTGAGCCCGAGCCCAAGCCGTAGCCTATTTGCATATGGGCTTTGCAGAAAAAGCCCAATATGAGTCTGCTTCGGCCCTTTGACCGTGTAATCACGTGCTCTTTACCCTCTCCCATTTGCATTTTTTATTTTTAACTAAATTAACTAAAACAAAAATAATCCTAAATTTTTAAAAGTTTACCTTAAAATTTCAAAAAAATCTAAAAAAAAAAAATATATATATCTATATATATATATATATATATCTTTTAACTCTTAATCATTTAAAAAAATTTGATTAATACCCTTCCACTTCTTATTTAAAGGTTAAAAAATACATTTAGTGTCGGTACTATATTTAAAAAATACTCATGAAATTTAAAGTAGTTGTAACACTCTTTACCTTTATAAAAAAAACATTAAAAAAATTTCTTATTATAAATATATGAAAGGAAATTGTCGAAGTCTCATAGATTATTTCAAAACTTTTTAATGTTACTTTTGAAAATTTAAGAGTACTAACTAAATACTTTTGAACTTTCTAAATCGTTTAAAGTATATATATATATATTTTTAAAATTATGTCTATTAATGAAAGTTTTGAAAACTCAATGGTATTTTTTAAACACATTTTTATTAATTTAACTTTTATTTTGGTTTGAGGAAGACAATTTTAGGGATCCCAATTTAATGTATAAATATTGAGAGAGAGTTGAATATATAGCATCATCATACAAAATTATGCAAAGTTCATAAATAATTGTATCAGGATCATATTCTAAATTGATTATTTTATGTAATGGATGGACTCTATAATATTAGGCTGAATTTGAGTTATTTAAAAAGAAAAGAAAAAAAAAATTGCCGTTTTCACTCGGGCGGTATTCAATTTGTCAGTGGTCATATGGTTTCGTTGGTGCATAAATGCATAAATTGTCCGTGACAGTACTATGGTCCAATGACCATCATCAATATTCTTGCCCACTCTCATCTCACCATTCATTCAATTTATAATAACCCCTTCCTTGCTACAGCTTCGAAGAAATGTTCCAAATATGTACCTTACTCAATGCTCAATCAAATATAATAATAAACAATATGCCTATGCAACGATCATAATCAAATACAAATAGGTTCACCTTAACACAGTTCATCCAACTCGATCAACATATCAAAGATTCTCAAAGATCCCAAATTTAAAACAAAAAATAATCCAATTCTTTCTCTCTATTAAAAGAAATTAAAAAAAAACATGTAGATATATATCAACTTGGGAATAGTTTAATTACTACTAAATTCATCTTTAAAACAATGCAGTTTTAAGAAGGAAATTCAGTACACAAACAGCAATGACAAAAAAAAAAAAAATCA